GATTAAGTAATTCGGGAGCCAGTTTTCAGAGACTTATGGGACATATCTTGAGAGGATTTGAGTATCGTTTTACTCTTATTTATATAGATGATATAATCATATTTTCTAAATCTGTTGAAGAGCATTTGTCTCACCTAGAGGAGGTTTTTAGAAGGCTTCGTCAAGCTAATGTCAAGCTTAACCCAAAGAAGTGCAATTTCGTTAAGCAAAAGGTTGAATATCTTGGCCATGTTGTGACTCCGGATAGTATTAGCCCCAATCCTGACAAAGTGCGCGTTGTACAGGAATTCCCTACGCCCTCTAATTTTAAAGAACTTAGGAATTTTTTGGGTCTGCGTTTTGTTAAGGGTTGTTCTCATATTGCTGCCCCTTTGAATGCGTTGACTAGAAAGGGCGTTTCTTTCAAGTGGTCAGAACAATGTGCACTCACTTTCGATAAGTTGAAGTGTGCTTTAGTTTCTGCTCCTGTTTTGGCATATCCCAATTTCTGCGAGCCCTTTCTGTTGTTCGTTGATGCAAGTTCTACGGGAATTGGTTTTACTTAGGGTCAAGTTCAAAATGGAAAGGAAGTAGTGATCGCATATAATGGGCGTGGTTTGAATCAAGCAGAGAAAAATTATAGTACGACTGAAAGAGAAGCACTTGCTTTGATAGCGGGTATTAAAAAGTTTCAACCTTATCTTCACCGTCGTAGATTTACAGTTGTCACAGATCATAGCTCTTTGCGTTGGCTAATGAATGTTAAGGATGCGTCAGGTCGTCTGCTAGATGGGCTCTACTTCTTCAACAGTATGACTTTGAGATAGTTCATCGCCCTGGTAAGGTTCACGGTAACGCCGACAGTTTGTCTAGGCGTCCGTATGTAACATCTGAGTTCAATTCCCTCCAGAGGGAGGATCCACACGTTTCAAAGACTCGAGAAATGCAGAGGTGTGATGTCGAGTTGAGTGAGATTATTGATTTTCTTGAGAGCGATGTGTTACCATTTGATGATCGTGCCGCGCGGAAGGTTTTCCTCACCAGTAATGCTCTTTACTTTACCATTTAGACTCTAAGCGCAGGAGTAATTCTTATGACTCATTTTCTCAGCTTGTTGTGCCAGCGTCGTTGAGGTTTGAAATATTGTCCAACGTCCATGATCACGTTTCCGTTGTGCATTTTGGCGTACATAAAACGTTTGATAAAATCAAGCAGATATATTGGTGGAAAGGGATGCATAAGGATTTTGGGCATTGGTGTAAGTCGTGTACTGAGTGTTCTATGAGAAAGTCGCCTAGAAATTCGAAGAAGGCGCCTTTGCTTCCAATTCCAGTTGAGGGTGCATTCGATAGAGTAGCTGTGGAAGTTTTGGGACCCTTCCCAACGTCAAATAAGGGCAATAGGTACATTGTGGTGTTCAGTGATTACCTCACTCGTTGGTGTTAGGCATTTCCAGTTCCGAGTGTTGAAGCAACAGTAATCGCTCGTCTTTTAGTTGATGAGATCATTTCTCGGCATGGTGCCCCAAGGGTATTACTTTCTGATAGAGGGACAAACTTTCTGTCTAAAATTGTAACCGACGTTTGCAAATTTAGTCTTCCGTTAAACTCTGTTTTCGTTAGTGTTTCTTGTCGCTGCGATGGGTCAGTTTCAAAGTCGGGTTTTCTGTTAGTGTTTTGGTGGCATTTTGCTTTTCCCATTTTTTTGAATAAGTATAAGTTTTGTTCTTCAACGTTGGGAGACTTGGCTTAATCCTGATTACTAGGCGTAGAGCGCGTGCCCTGGCTGAACGGGCTTCTAGCCAGGAAAATTTGGGTTTGTCTCCGAGTTCTAATGAGTTGCCTCATGGTGGCCTCATGGTTTCATGGTTCATGAAAAGATGGTCTGAAAAGGAGACAGTGTTTTCAACTGGGACAAGAAAAGTAGTACCGGATTTCACACGTCACGTCGCGTTACTCGACTGAAGCTATGTTGCGTGACAACACGAAAATCTATCCAGTATAGTATGAAGACCCATTCGATATGCGACTCTCCACTTTAGAGATCGGCGCGGCGTAGCTTCGCTCCGTTACAAAAATCGCGCTGAAATCACCGTTTCTATTTGTGAGCAGAAGTCTTCTCCGGTATGGTTTCCGTGCCGGCGCAAAATCTATCCGCTATAGTGGGAAAACATACCCGATATGTGACTCTCCACTTTAGTGATCCGCGCGGCGTAGCTTCGTTCCGTTTCAAAAATCGCGCTGAAATCACCGATTTTATTTGTGAGCAGAAGCCTTCTCCGGTATTGGTTCAGTGCCGGCGCAAAATCTATCCGTCCGCTACAGTGTGAAAACATACCCGATATGTGACTCTCCACTTTAGTGATCCGCGCGGCGTAGCTTCGCTTCGTTACAAAAATCGCGCTGAAATCACCGATTTTATTTGTGAGCAGAAGCCTTCTCCGGTATTGGTTCCGTGCCGGCGCAAAATCTATCCGCTATAGTGTGAAAACACATGATATGTGACTCTCCACTTTAGAGATCCGCGCGGCGTAGCTTCGCTCCGTTACAGAAATCGCGCCGAAATCACCATTCTTATGCGTAAACAGAAGCCCTATCCAGTATGGCTTCCGTGCCAGCGCAAAAACAACCCAGCGTAACATTAACAGAGGCTAAAACTGCCGAAAGTTTTCTGGTATGGGACGCGTTCGTTCGTTTTCCGCATATTTTCCTTCTTATTCTTTTGCTACGGAATAAGTTTTCTCTTAAGTTGGGATAATTTTCGGTCCAGTGTTTCTTGGTGTTTTCAGTTCAAAATCCAAAACATACATTCACTAGCCACACGCTATTAACTCTAAATTTGCATTTTGAGGAATTTTATGATTCCGATCAATTCACTAGATGATTCCCATCACATTTATTTCTAAAACTCAAATACAATTTCGAAAACCTGCCGTCTCGTATGTCAGCTCAGATTCGGCTCTACTTACGACTCATAACTTCCTGTATAACAAGACACGTCGCGGTCGTTGCGGTAGATAAAATCGCTCACGTCCGAAGAGTGGCAAATCGCTTGTGATGTCTAAAATTTTCAAAAATCAATTCGCATATAACTGAACTATTTAAAATTACAAAAAGAAAGATAGTAAATATCTCTGGTAAAATAAAATAATATTATTGATAAATAAAAAAATTTGCCTGGCAAGTTTCCTGCAAAAATACAACTAATTCGACGCCCGCGCGTGAGAGATTGATGATCAGCGCCACGCAAAGACGGAAGAGGACAATTGAATTGTCCTCCTCTGTTCTTAAACCTCCTCGTTTTCTGCGCTAAAAAAATAATAACACAAAAGTACAAAGGTGGATAAGCCAAAATTTCGTTCAAGTGAAAAGTTTTTAGATGATGAAAATATAAATAAGTTGAAATATCCAGACACGACTGTGTACTTTGAAGACAAATATAATTAGGCAATAATCTACGAAACCGCACAAGATGGAACTTGAACGAAGATCAAAAATACTGTGTACATATGCCAGCCCTGCGCAATAAACATTCTACAGAATAAAGCACGATTTCGATTTGACTGACTGAGAAATGTTCACAGGTATATAAAATATTCGATAAGATTTCAGAGTACCATGAAATTTTCCCTTTTTGCTATTCTTATGAGGTTTAACTGGATTTTAAACCAGCTGATAAGAAAAGGCTAGGGTACTTGGAAAAGAATAAGGCTAAACAAATGACAAGCACAAGGTTAAACATCCTGCGATAGTTACCACGTTCTTAAGAATAAAATTAAACACACTCACGCAGTTATCGGAGTTTTATTAAAAGGAAGAAATAAAAAAACGGTCGAGATTAGTTTATGGGTGTAATTTCCAAGAAGATTAATTACAGCAAAGAAAAGCGATCATGGATCAATTCGAATGGTATCTCAGACCTTCGCATAACCCTGCGTGGGCATCGTGTCGTTTACGACTCCAGACAAAAACCCCCTGAAAGAGATGTCAGACAACGAACATCTGCTTAAACACCTTTGAATATCTTGTTCAATATTGTATCTACAAACTTCGGGGAAGTCGGACTATTTTGCAACCTGTGAGCACGTACGCACGTTCAAAACAAAGAAAAGAAATATTAGAGACGGACAAACGACAAATATGACAGGAATAACAACGTCTACGAAAAAAAAAACCTGTTTTACCAACCCAATTAGTAAAAAGGAATCATTCATTCATCCATTCATAAAATTGCGTTCTGTGTGTTGCCTGGAGATTTTAAGAAGGAAGGTAGTTAGAAGTACTCCAGTAACAAACTGGTAAGAAATCTGGTAATCGATCCTTAAGCTTTCAGTCAAAAGAAAACTCTTCACTGAACTTTCACAAGAAATGAAATTTTAATTGGAATTTTACTTTGGTTTTGCTCATTAATCATTCAAATGCTAAATGTCGAGTTGCATTGGGTTACCTAGTAATTTGTCTTAAGGAGTCAAGGGCACAAATCAAGATTCAAGAATCAACAAATGTCTGATTTTCAAAGATAATCATGCACAAAGTAACCAAAACTAGGTTCTTCCAGTAGAAAAATGAACAAACTCTAGGGTATGCCCCTGAATGTTAATTTTTTCTCTCTTTACTTTTGTGTAGTTATGAAAGGCATTGATGTTACAAGAAAGACAGCGTCTTCAAACTAGAGACCATTACGTGCTTTTAATTATAAAGGAATCTGCTTATGAGAAGTACAAGGCCACACTAGTAATGGCGATAAAACAGAGCACAAACTCAGGAGACGCTTAAGAGTAGAGGAGGAATTGAAGACGAACGTTATATTGATTACAACACAATGATTGACTCGCAACTCTTTGATCCCTTTTGTTTCAGATCGCGCGAAATATGAGAACTTCTTCAGAAGAACTGTGCAGTCACTTTTGCTAAGATGTCAACAAAGGGCATCCGATTCTTTACTCCTAAGTTCGTGGGACATCTAGTTTTCAATTACACGACGGACTAATCTACAAAGACATCGTGTGCTCAATACTCACAATGAACAATTCTAACATGTCTGTCCCGGTATGCGACCCGGGTCCAACGTACTTACTGTGGAGTTTACGCCTGGCTTATCCAATTATATGGTTACTTGGAACGTTTGGAAACGCCGTTGTTTGTTTGGCAATTCTCAAACGTAAGCGACTACAGAACAGCTGTAACATGTTCACCTTCAACTTAGCTTTCCATGACCTTATACTCGTCGCAGTATACGTACCAACACAAATGATCGCAATGGAAAACTGTCATCACTGGACTCTAGGCAACGTTATGTGCCATCTTGTATACATAATCCTTCCCTTGTCTTTGTCAGTGTCCGTTGGTACTTTATTAGCAATAACGGGGGACAGGTATCGTGCTATTGTATTCCCAATGAAAGCAAAACTTTCGCGCAAGCCTGTCTTCATCGTCATAGGAGTAATATGGGTGGTTTCGGCGCTGACAGCACTGCCGCTTGTGTTCGTAATAAGCCTTGTTTCACCTCAGCCTGGAGTCTACTATTGTCTTGAGGAATGGCCATCCGATACTATTTCAGGAGTCTACTGGCTAGCTATGTTTTTTATCCAGTATCTTCTCCCATTATGCGCCATTTCAGTTCTCGCAGGAAAAACGGCGTGTACATTGAGGAAAACGTCACTAGAGGATAAAATGGAGACTTGTACGCGAAGCGAAATGTTTAGGAAGACTTTACGGAAACGCGCTAAACAAACAAAACGTATCACAAAGATGTTAATTGCTCTTGTTTTGCTTTATGCCATTTGTATGCTGCCCCAGCATGTGGTTCATACTTTCTGGGCAAGATACGGAGGTTTGTATTTTAAGAGCTACAGAGAACAGGTCATGATCATTGCCAACATTTTCCCTATAGCCAACAGCGCACTGAACGCAATAGCATACGGGACATTGAACAAGGAATTTAAGGCTGTCTTCAAAGGTTTGTTTGCTTGCGTTTGCTTCAAGATGAATTACCAAGGAGAATTATTCGGAAGAAATACGGATAACTCAGCGTCCAGGAGCGAGATGTCAATTATGAAGAGTAAACGAGGGAACCCTTTATTCCTCAAGGGAAGAAATGGAAGAGAAACAATGACGTCACCTCTCCCGAATATGAAACTGCAGGAGACACGGGAACAGGAAATCCAGGAAGTATCGTACAACCAGGGAAGATACCGCCGGGGATCGAGAAGGAAAAACCCCGACTCCGACTCCGATAGAAAGCGACTTATTTACGAAGTCGAGACGGTGCTGTAATCCAGGAATTATCGTCAAACCAGGGGAGATATCGCCAGGGGCGGGAAGGAAAAACCCCGATTCCGAAAGAAAGCGACTTATTTGGGAAGCCGCAACTGTGCTGTAACTAATAATAACATAAGACACAAAAAAACTTTTGCACAGGATAGTTGCTTACAAAAGTCGGGTGAGAGAATAGGAATAAGGGTGGGAGTTTCCATGTTGAAAAGGAGCAGAAACTAATTGAAACGTGTTCAGCTTGTCTTTACTGAATGAAGCTTTTACTAGGGGGTGACTCTTTCCACATATCCGTACATTTAAGCAGCTTGGCTATCTAATCTATCTGCCTTGATCGGGAGATTAGTTTAAGTACGTGAGTACGAAAGACATTCATTTGAACATCGAATCACTGTTTAGAGTGTTTTTGTCACATGCCATTATTACCAAAAGACCAGGAGCAGATACATCTGTCGCATAATCAAAAGCACTAGTAAAATAAATCCCCAAGGTCCGTCATGGCTGTAAGTTAGCAATAAGTGTCTCAGTTCTACAAAAGAGATCTTTACTTGCATTATCCTTCTCATCCACTTTCGCCGATTCGGCCGGCGAAGTCACTTTCCCGCCTGTGATAGGTAGATTGTTCCAGGAAAGTTCCTTTTTTACATCGTGAAGCATTTCAACGATTTCTTTGCCCAAACTTTCCCGAGTTTTCTCAGTTTGTTCAGCTGGGCGCGCAGATCTTGAATTTTTTACTAAGGATGAGTTTTCAAAGCAGTCCAACACGAATGATAATCGTTTAGTAGCAGAAAAACCTGGCGTGAGCTAAGGCAGAAAGGAAAGAAAACGTTGCTTTATTCCCCCAGAAATAAGTTCCCCACAACGGTCTCTGTTTATCGCTAATTCTTACAGTTAGGAGAATTCATAGTTTCAAAAAAAAATCTAGGTGTTACCATAATAAGCTTTTGCTCTTAGTAAGTGAGTCATATTTTCATAAATAATAGAGTAAAGAATGTAGGTGAGGAGAATTTTTTTAATCCAGGTGTAATCACCTTTTCGGTTTATAATTCTAAGAATATTCGGAAGCTCTCCAACATCTCTAGGAAAGTCTTCCGAAAGTTGTATTTAAGGAAACGTCATTCATTACTATAGCCAGGAGAAGAACGCTACTTGTTAAATTGAGTGTTTATGTGTTACCATATTTATCTAACAAAAGCCGACGGTTAACAAAAACAATAACAGACGTCTACTCTCATTACTAACGCGAACAAACAAATACAAACAAATTTTCTTTACTTGCCATTTGTACCACATGGCTGAAAACCAAATGCCCACCAATCGCATCGCACAGGAACACCATCAATAATCTGCCAAGCAATATGGTGGATTCCGGTGCATGAAGCACAGGGCTGGTAAATAAGACGTACTGAAGATCCGCAAATTGTAGCCGGGACTTCGACTTAAGAAGACGCAAAGGTGGAAGGATTTCTTTTAAGGCTGCCTGCAATAGAAAGAAAATATAATTTCAATTTCCATTTTTTTTTTTCAACAACGAAAACTTCTTTAAAGACTTTAGTACTAAAGGCCTTCAAAATTAGAATTTAGTTCGTAAAAGTTTGAAACTTAATGGTAAATGAACGGTAAAATGGTAAAATGGTAAAAAGGTCTCACCTTAACAGATATGTGACTGTCTGTAAGTGGTGGAACATGAAACCAACACAGTATATTTATGCAGCTTTCTAGAACCTGATTAAAAAATGGACCATACTGCAGTTGTGGGCTAGGTAGCCTAGCCTTTGATTGAATGTGAGGCTGAGGTTGACCTTGTTAGTGTTTTGATACAAACCTCATCTGGTTCCTTTTCAAAATTATAGACTTCTTTTATAATAGTGGCCCATGAATTTATTTATTATTTCATATGTGTATAAATGAGCCTTTCCGGCCTCGTTTGAAAGTAAGAGTTTGTTTGTATTTTGCACAACGCTAACGAGATCAGAGAGGCTAGTTATCATACAAACAAAAGAATCTATCAATGGGCTGCCATTATGGAAGAGGTCCAGGTTTAACAGTTTGCATATGAACAACATGATTTACAAAAGAAAGCAGGAAGGGTTGTATCAAAACAAGGTCAACCGTAGCCTCGTTTTCATCCTAACTGTGAATTGGGCTATTGGTGTTATAGACTGCGAGCAGCCTCTTATTTTTCTTTTGAATCACAGTAGATCGAGAACACGCGTGAGGGGCGAGCGGCGAAGCCGCGAGGAATGTGGGCGGAAGTAATATAACCTTAAAACCAACAGACCGCGAGCGGCCGTTTTGCTGCCGCGCCGTACCTACTGTTCGAGTTAAAGCAGATAACTCAAACTAATTCCCAGAGTGTGTGTTACCCTTGTCCAGCGGAACGGGGAACAGGGAAACGCGGACTCTGGGAACGAGATTAATAATAACTGCCCTATTTTTAAAATAAATAAATATTAAAAAAATACTCTTGTGATTTAAGCCTCCAGCATTCATTGTAGATGTACTTGTAACTTTTCATTAAATGAAGGATGATATCTCGTTAGATTACCTCTTCTCTACTGTTTACAAGCGACAAATGAAGTGCATAAATCTCCCACGAACTAAAACACCACAAAGTCTTCCACATCAAAAATGATTCACTGTCATAAAAAAGAAGGAGAGCAAACAAAATTGAACATAACGAAAGAAGACAAAATGAATAGGCACATTAGACAATAAAAGCATGTGATTAATGAGTTCTTATCATGAATTCATCGACGTACGATTTCTGTGTCGATCAGTAAGCACTCAGTGAGTGCCCGGATGAAAGGTTGCGGAAAAACGAAACTCAATGTTTACCGTGACGTGGAGCCAGTCATTAACTGTTACGACAAAAATAAAATAAATTCGTTTCGGCAATGACTGCGAAAAATTACCGCGACTGGCACATAATTTGCCCGCGGTTTCAAGGTCCACGACTTGATCATCTACGAGTGAATTTTATTCACCCTAGTGAGCATAACGCTTGACAATTTGGAAACGCGCTTGATTTGGGAGGTTTAACTATTTATAGGCATATAATATTAATCTCCGAATTCAGATTTAATGAGAGGCGAGAGGGCATAAAGTAAAATAGAAAAGTTTTGTTAATCATCCTTCAATTTTAAAAGCCTGCGCATAATATTTTTTTTCGCTTGCACAGATTTCCATCAAACACCTGCGTTTAGTAGTTAATCAGATTTCCTTTTCTCTTGTTTTTGCTTTTTTAACCACAAAGATAGACGAAATATGACGGAAAGCTGAAAAGTTGTAATCTAACCATTTAATTTTTACAATAAACATGTCGTGATTTTCCGTAGTGACTCTTGAGTAAGTCAATGAAATCCCATGGAGAAGCAATTCAAATTAATCGCGTCAGAAACTTCAAAGTGGTACTGTTAATGTTTCTAGGAGTCAAAGGTCTAAAAATAAATAAAACGGACAATCCATCAAAACGCTAAATTCAGAGACAAACTCCTTTAATTGATTTCCCTTTCTACGTTCTACAAAGTACAGCAAAAAAACCCGAAAAGACAGAAAACGTAAGAACCGAGGTACTTGATTTCGCTGATCTTCAATTACGCGTTTTATCGCGATTGTAAAAAATCCGCGAAATTAAAGACCCGTAAATTTAAATCCTCGCGAAATTTAAGCACGCGAAATTTAATTCCCATGCAAAAAACTCAAAACAAAGTAACATTTATCGAGATGTAATAACAACAACATATACA